ATCTTGACACAATTGCTGTCGTGTCTCTACCATACTGAAATATTCCACGAGTAACCCGGTCCCGTGGCCATTTCAACCATGCTACGCGCCTACTCGCACCGGCTCAGGTATACAGAAGTATTTCATGAGCTTACAGAATTTTACAAAGTTCATCATGATGGTCAGATGAGCGTCTCGTCAACCGACGCAGGCGCCTGCTCGCCTACGCACACTTCTCGAAATTTAACCATTAACCGCAACCTGCGTTACGTATTTGTGATCATCCCTCCGAGTCCCCTTATCGAATCCTGATCAATGTTATCAGTTCTGTCACCACTTTTCCTGCCAAAGTGTTCATCGCCGAGCCCCCACATCACTTATAATTGTGAGGCGTCTTTATCGCTATTTGAAGAAAGTTATGAATTCTCGGTCAAACATCACACTCACAAACATCCACATACACACTCAACACCCATACAGACAAACCTTAGCGGTATGATATACAGGGGGGCTAAAAAAAAGTCACTTTGCTTCATTGACTTTCGAGGCGCTATAAGTTACACTTTATAAATTCTGATCGGACATTTCTACCGGACCAATTTAAAGAAGCATATTAAATACTATTATGACACTCCGCCACAGCCTTCTGGAGGAGCGCCATCGAGAGATTCTGGCACGCAACCGCGATGTGGTCCCTGAGATCAGCGAGATGGTCGATTTCTCCGCCACCGTAGACCACCCTATTGAACTCCGCTCGAACCGGGTAATTGAGGGGATTCAGGTCAGGTGACCTACTTAGATATTCCATCTTCTTTAGGTACTCAGCCCCCTTCCATTCCAGGTAGGCGAGAGTTTCTCCAACGCCCTTCGATTCCACGTGGTGAACAGCCAACTGCTTGTAGATTACAAAGTTTCCAAGAAGGTACGGGGGACGGCATGTGGAGAAGATATTCTTCTTGAGTTGGTCGATGTAACCGCCAGCGCTCAGCTTCAGCCGGGGTCCACGAAGAAAATATTGGTCTTTCCATTCCAGGTGCGCCGTCCATACCATCAACCCGCGCCTTGGCGACTGCCGTGAAGATGATGTCCTAGACCGTAGCGACGTTGTCGGAGCTGCTCGATGTTGGAGGTCTTCCAGATTGAGAGTACTGGTCTCCAGGTAGCTATCCATGGGTGACTCCACACTAGAATTTCGCAGCTGTTTGGAGGTGACATGAATTCCAAAGGTCTTCTCCAGTCAGGCTGCGACTGGAGATGACCTCATATTTTGGTGTACATGAAGGTGATGGGCGAGGGCCAGCTTCCTGCTTATCGAGTGAAATCTGGGTATACTTCCCTACCTGGTACGTATCCACGTCTTCTCTCTCTGCGAAAAACTTTGCTGATATGGGCCTCTATCGAATTGACTTCTTTTTGCCCCCCCCCCCTGTAATATTAGGTCATCCATATTCAAAATGCCGAGACATAAGAGGGATGGCAGAAAGCAAAGGGATAAGGAAGGCGGGCTACTATACATTTGGAGGCTAGTACCTTTAGCTGTGTATCTGTGAAATTTGGCGAACCTACCCACAGAGGAAGTTCTCGAGAAATTGAAAAGAAGCCCGAGTGGTGAAAATCAGCGCCCGATTTTCAAATCAGACGTCATAAGAGGGAAAAAGAGTCCACTGCTTCAAATTCGACACGGCGCTGGAAGTAGTTTGGTGTAAATGGTGTTTCCGATAAACACCAAGGTGAAAGGTTTGGTTACAGGGCGAACACAGAAAGAAAGGAAAAAAATTTGTCTTCGTGATGTCGCTATAATGTTCATCCTGCACAAGAGAAAAGTGGATGAAGCAAGTCGTCTGGATGTTTCTAATTCTCCCAGAGCGCAGGACCTTTGTCGAGCTCCCTCGCGAGTCTGACATCCCAGCTGCAACTGCTGCCCGATAAACTGAGGATGGTCAAGAAGGGTGTGCGCATGGGTACCTAATTTTCTTATAGAAGCACGAACGCAGTACCGATTCTATACCTCTAGCAGTAATGTTCTCAGCATGAGATGTCATTCACGACTGTGAAACGCACCACGAGCCCCAATGAAATAGGGTGTCTTGAAGTCTGAGCCAAAACTCACAATTGTCAATTTTGTATGAATGCAGATGAGAAGCCGCCCGAGTTCTACCATGAAGAGTTACGTGGGCGCAAGTGGATGATCATCATAGCGAAGGATTTTTACACTGTCGGCCTCTCAGGCGCTCATACAGAGAACAAAATCGTAGCTGTCGGTGTATATTGCCTGATCCTCGGCAATCAGATTGACAAATGGATGACACCATAGAACTACAAGAAGGCCACGTAGCGTCGCCAGAGTGCCGAGTCCGGGTAATCGTATGTAGGGCAGTGCGGAAACATTCAGTACGACACCTGGTTCAAATCAACATCCCATTTCGCCCGACATAAGGCCAGCGATTCCAATTGTCTCACAAGTCGAGAGTACTCTCCGACGGCAAACGCTACAATGTTTTGTCATTCGCCGAAATTGGCAGCAACAGCAATTTACTCGACTTGTTGAAAAACCGAGGTACCAGAGTCGCAAGGCGTCAGGCTGGAACGGGTCATCTGGTGAAGAGAGATTACTTAACTGAAGGCCCAAAATATTACTCTTTTTATCCTTATTACTGCTCTTTGTTTTTTCTCGAATAAATCGAAAAAAGTCCGACGGCTACTTTGAATGGGAATGACCTAATAGAACCTATCCACACTCACGCACACACACTTCTCTAGCTTCTCTTCTTTGGCAACCGCATGTCAGTAAGCGGCTTCAATATACTTTGTGCCTTACGAGGTTTAGGTGGAACATTTATTTAAAAGGCCTAACGTTTCGACTTAATCGTCGTCTTCAGAGGCCAGTGTTCCACCGTTTAAGCGGATAGGTCCGCTGCCACACTAGAGCGCTGTTAGTAGAAAAAAGAAAAGAACATTTTTCTACGTCATTATTTATCTACCAGTCTGGCTGACGCGCACTACTGCGCGCATGGTTAAACCCATGGTACTACGATAACTGACAGGATTTGTCCTGAGCACTAACACTTAGCCTAATTCCATGTTTTCATGTTTCGAGGACGACCAATTTCATCATTTTCCCCATTTTAATGAACATTTGCCAGTGTTTGGTGCCTATCATATTTCTAAAAGCACCATTCGTTGGGGATAGGACAGCATAGCGGTGGGAAGAATTTCGATAATAAAAAAGTCGAAATCATAGTGGCTCTTATCATTCCTCACTGGCCAACAATTTCCTTTCCGGTGAAACTCGAGCGTTTAGCGGTGGAAGCAATTCCGACCGCTAAACTGAGGATATTGCAGGAATAGAAATTTGGCCAGGATGATGTGAGCACATACGGAGTCCCAAAAGCCGTTGTCGGACACTGACAGAATCTATCTCCCACCTTTAATGTTCCGTGAGCACCCTTGAATTACTTGCTGGAGCAGTTCCACAGTGTTGCAACAACTCTGCTGCGAATTTTCGGGGTATCTTATCAGCTCTTACATATCTGCACAACCAATAAGGTTCCATGCCTGACACACCATATTCTTGCCTCTTGGAACCGACGTCCCGTTGTGCTGGTCGACGTTGTGAGTTAGGTGTCTCTACCCTTCTAAGGCTCCTTATGGTATCTTATCAGCTGTTATCAATTCCTGCCACCCACCAATAATGTTCCCATCCTGCCCCTATCTTACTACTTGTATCCAACGTCCGGTCGTTGCTCTGGCCGGTGTTATGAATTAGGTAACCCACTCTTTCTGAGGCTCCTTATGGTATCTTATCAGCTGTTATCAATTCCTGCCACCCACCAATAATGTTCCCATCCTGCCCCTATCTTACTTCCTGGAACCAAGGTCTCATCGTTGCTGTGGCCCGCGCTATGAATGTGGTGATCCTCCCCTTATAAGGCTGCTCGTGGTATCTTATCAGCTCTTATCAGTTCCTGCCAGCCACCAATAGTGTTCCTGCACGACCCCCTACATGACTTATCAGTTTGAGCGCTCATCATCGCTTAAAGGAAGTTACAGAATTTCCCGGCAAACACACATACATACAACGCAACGACGACACCAACAGCAAACTTAGCGATTATATATATAAGGATTACGTACCATCACTACTAATTGTTCTACTTATTAAAAAGGAAAGAAAAAACAAAATTTTTCTACTAACAGCGCTCTAGTGTGGCAGCGGACCTATCCCCTTGAACGGTGAAGCAGCTATGCTCTCTGAGGCAACGATTAAGTCGAAACGTTAGACCATTTGATAAATGTCCGCACCTCAACACAACACTCGTAAGGCACAAGAAATATTGAAACACTACTGCTTGCGTTTTATTGTGTTGATTTTTGTGCTTTAGAGTTGAAAATGGGATGTTGGATGGCCTAGTGTTTCACCATCTCGAACGCCTTCAGAGGCAATGTGTTCTAACTGTTCAAGCGGCAAAGTCCGTGGCCACTCTTGAGGCGCTAACGTTATATATTAAATCAGGGGTTGTCGAGCTGTTTGTTTGAAAACATGCTGGCATTTTGACTAAGGAGTAAGTGTAAAACGCTCACAGATCAACTCAATGCATATCAAAGCGGTATTCAAGTAACCGACCTAACACTTCTTCCACAGTTAGTAAGTGAATGGGGCCTTCAGCATACGAATGACAGTGAATAAAAGCCACAATAGGAAGAAATGGAATGAAGTGAGCGAATAGTTTCGAAATGATCGCTCAGAAAAGCACTTCAAGCAATGTAAATGTTACAAAATAGTTGTGAATAATTCACAAAATATAAAAAGCTGTACGAAATAAATATAATAGATCCTCACATTAATCGAATAAAATCATCAAGTAAAGACGGTAAAGTTGTGTAGTGACCAGTTTTTTGTTGAGAAAAATCGCAATTCTCTTTGATGTACGATCGGAGCTAGCATTAATTGAGGAATCAGTGACATCCCAAGGCATCCCGGTGGCAGCTTTTGCAGTTGGCATTGGCGATGGCATTCGCATTCAGCAGTCTCGCTGGCCAGCGAAGGGCGAAAACATCACTTCGACAGTCTCGTCCAGTCCATACTCGACATGCCACCCCCAATCCTTCTTCGCTCCAGAATCGTCCAACGATCGTGGCCATGAGTCAGCTGAAAAGAAAGAAACATAATGGGTATCGTCGAAGTCTGGCGGGGCGGTTTAAAAACTGGATGGTCATAGGCTGAGCCCTCCGCGGCCTGCATTTCTACTCTGGTTTTCTAGCCTTAAGCAGCCATTACTGGTAGAGCACAGAGCCTTGTCGTATCTACACCCATTATCCCTTCAAAAGAGAGGGCGTGTGAGGGGACGCGAACCAAACTGCAAACAGAGCGACCTTTTCCACCGATTGTTGCTAAAACGTTGGGATAGTATCCATGGTGGCAGAACGGAATTGATCTGACCGCGCTCGGACACTCCACGCCTCTCACAACGCCTTCTTGTTTCAATGATAGGATGTAAGAACTTGCACACCTTCAAATACATGTAGAATATATATAGAACCAAAAAGATTCGGGTATAATAACTAAAACCCTGGAAAAAAATTCGCTTATGAAAGTAGTGCACACTATTTTTGTCACAGCAGTCACAAATAGGAAGACCATGCGCTTGTACATATGATGATGGAAAGAGACGCTACGGTGTTAGATGGTGGAAATGAGTTAAGACAGCGACACGCATTTTCTAACTAGTCAGCAGCTCGGGTCTAAATCATCGACAACTACGGCTCGAGAGCGCTTTCCGCGATTGGGCTCCTTCACAAACCTCCTGACATCATCACGCCGCTTCACGTCACCGTATTTCACGTAGTTCAGAATATATTAACTCACCAATAGCCTGCCGTGTTTTACAAATATCATAGTTGATCTTGAAATGTGGCATAACCTAAACAAAAGACTTTAACCTTGAGAAAACCTACGCGAACAGCATACTATTTTGAATCCGTTTTTACCTTCTTTGATCAGAACTGCATTGGCAATTCTCCAGGTGTGAATGAGAAACCAGTCACGTTGTATGTTCGACGCCTGAGTGATTCCGATGGAGCCGAGAGGAACTGAACACAATTTTGGTAATCAATTATTAAATTCCTTCGGGTGTTATCCATTATTCTTCCCTGACAATCGAACAGTAGATGATCCCACCTGTACGACAGAAGCCATGCAATCGGTGTCGTACATCATTGGAAGTTTGGTATCCGGCCGAAAGGTAACAAATATGCTTCCTTCTCGAGTGCATTCGTAAATTTGTATGCGAGTCTGAAAGGAGGAAAAGTTTTGAAATAAGCGGAATAAACGCATTAAGAAACGTGGTGATAGAAATATGCTTAAAACCATCTCTCAATGTTGACCCTTTCAAGTACACATTTATTTATGTATTTGTCTATCTATTATTTATTTATTTACTTATTCATCCATTTGAGGCGATATCGGCACTATAGTGCCTCGAGAAGCACTGCAGCAAAACCTAGACACCTCACAATCTGCCTTCTGTCATCCTAATACATTTAGCACATGTCTACGTTCTAAGCCTGGCTTAGTCAACGTGAGAACGTGCCCCCCCCCTCTCACGCTGCATTCTTTCACCTAGACAACACGGGGCGGCGTGGTTGACGCGATTAAACTTTGCTGCAAAGTGGACCCTTCCGTGACATAAAGGCACCGGCATTCAGCCATTAGGTTACTGTAATGATACTGCACGTGCTTGAACGCACCGAGAATACAGTAACTGCTTGGCGAGAAATTCAGTCCGTCCATGATACACCTTGTCCGTCCCATAACTTATGTACTGGCACTTGACGGCAAATACTATGTGAGTTTTCTTGTATGTATAGGTGGAAGAGGAGCTGAAAGCTTCTTTCGGTTGCTTTTCGCGGCATGGCAGCGAAAAGCAACTAAAAGAAGCTTTTGAAAAGCTGCAAAGTGAGCTTCTATTCTGCCCGTGGATTCCTTTCGCTGGTGAAGTGGCGCAGTGGCAAACAGTCATTTACCTATCAGTCAACAGTCATTTACGATCCGTAGCAGGTTTGTCTGGGAGGATAAAAACCTTGAACCAAAGATCATCTGACCTTAAGAGTTATTGTACAGGCCATACTCTATTCAGTAAGCCATTATGACTCTGAATGGAAGCAGAATCTACCGCATCTTAAAAAGAAATGGTTACCGTCAAAAGCCTTCGGCTTTAACTTCGCTTTCATAATGTCAGCATCTGCAATGAGGCAGCGTGAACACCTCGCCGGGCTTCTATGCCGTTGGACTTAGAGGGCGAGCGCGCCGTTCACCTGGTTAGGAAGCTAGGTTTCTCTTCTATTATTGACATTTACTTCATACACTGCCTCTTTTGAAGGTTCTGAACAGTTCATTTTTCCCGTTCTTCGGACAAGGCGCTTCGTTTTTTAGCTGCTGATGTGGAACGCAAATATCCCCTGTTCAGCCGCATGAAAAAAGGGCACCTTTTATTATTAGGGGATTCCTTTCAAGGAAAAGTGAGGCTCTGATGGTGATAGGACGACGTAGAGGAGGATGGAAGTGCTTCTGCGAAAAAGGAGCTCCTACGAAAACAAAACCATATCTAGGAAGAGTTTGAAGAGAAGTCGTTGTCAGTTGAAGATGAAAACACATTTGGGAGCTCAGTTTGGCTAACATCAGACTAATCACTGATTTACCACATACCTGTTGTCCCTCCTCCAGGCTTCGTTGCAGAGATTATACCAGGGAAACGAAGACAGCGGAAGTCTACGCCAAACTTGTGATGGTAGTATTCTCCTAGTCGCTCAGCATATACCTTAATAAAAAAGCTTCGAGCAAGTACTGTTGAATTACATTCGTCAGTATCCCTCCTACCTTCGATACTCCGTAAATGGTGGTGGGCTCTTGAATGGTAAGATCAGGAACATTGTCGCGGGGTGTTGTGGGACCAAAGGCTCCAATCGTCGATGGAATGAACACTTTCAGATCGTGTTTCCTGAAAACAGCATTCATCTCCCATAGGTTTTAAGATGAAACATGAGCAATTATGGCAAAAATTGGCTCAATGTGACCCCAATGTGCAGCTCTTGCGTCGAAAGAATTTCTATAGCGTACAGGCAGAGTCAAAGAAGAGCTAGAAGTGAGACAAGCGGGGCGTTCGGCTATGGACGGCACCCGGGAACCACCTCTTCTACGATGCTGCAGAAGTTCGGTTAAGTATGGGGTGCCCAGTGGTGCACCCTGCAACTTCGCTAACTCCAGCGCCGTTGGAAATATTAAATAATTATGTTTTAAGGACGCTGAACTTCGCCATTGCTGAGTATCTCCGCCTGCAATACGTGTATAGCTGATATCGTGAATCAAGCGGAGCGCTGTCAGGTAGCGTGGAATGAGTCACCTGACTGCGTTTTCTACTCCTTGTCAAAGAAAACAACGCTGTTATAGAGGAGACTTTCATGTGGGTCGAGGTTCATGCTCCTATTACATCACATCCTACGCTGTCGAAGAAATCACCAACTGGCGCGCATAAATAAAATGATATTGCATGGTGTTGCGATACTCTTTGCAGTCCCCTCACAGCCGTAATGCGTACGACTGTGTATTCTCTCGCCACGCCCTTGAATGCTTCGTCGCCTCAAGTTCGTCCAGTGCTCAAAACCACTTGCCAGAACGGAAAGGCCTTACGTGCAGCAGCTTTATTTCACTTTCCTTTGCTCTTTTCTTACAGGTTAACCATGCTAGCAATACTGTTTCGTCCCCAACCCCCCCCCTCCTCCACCCTTTCTCATGACATGCAAAAAAATTTTGAAATCATATGACTAGTGCTCAAGTGATAGATAATTTGTAAGCGAATTAGCGAATCAACTATGTGCGAATGAATCACGGTACGAAACGTCATGTCACCTTCATTCAGGTTACATTAGAAACAAGGGAATGGAAAGATTCGACATTCGTTCTTTGGTCATCCATTTTAGGTAAAAGTGGTCAGTGTTGACCAATACCTTCAGAGTGAGACTTCAGCTCAGTGCTCTCACCATGTTAGGCATCTCTCGTGTTGTGACCCAGGTGAAAAAAGGTCATTGATTTGACGCTCATATCCTCGAAGTGGAGGTCTACGTAGGTGCATCCTTCCGATTCGCCAATTATGCTTCCCCTGTTACTCCAGTTGCTAACAAGTGGAGTCTATGGATCTGCTCCTGTGCTGTGCATTCTCAAGTCACCTATTCTGCTATATTTTCTTCGACAGAAAAAGATCAGAACTGTAATGCTGATAATGATAAAATGTTAAAACACTCCAAGAGCACGCCATCAGGTTGAAGGAAGATGATTTGTTTTGCCCCTCAAAGGCAGCGCCCACGTTCATTTGATGTTCCCGCACCCTCTCTGATATCATAGCCCTCCCTATGAGGATGCAGTATGTACTAGTTTTGCATCTCAAAAAGGCGAGAGGATAGCGCCGTTCGCTAGTGAAGAGTCGGCCGCCCCGCCCACCTGGCCAGCATAGGGTTCTATATAGGGCATTTTCCATGATTTTTTTCTGCTTTTTTTCTTCACTACTGGATCACGTATTATATGAGCTCCATAACTCATTATTCTTGAAAGCGGGCTCAGCCTTTAAAGGCTAAGCCAAAGCAGTTATGGCAGCCAGGTGGGCGGGGGCATCCTCTTCACAAGCGGGTGGCGCCATCCTCTCGTATTTTTGAGCTGCGAAATTAGTACATCCTCCACCCTTGTCGACAAAGCTACGATATCTATCTAAA